CAATTTGAGAGTTCCCATAATTTCAGTTTGGGTCTTACTAGTCCTATTGAGAATCAGGTTGCTCGGGATTTTCTGAATATTTTCTCTCGGGAAAATATTTTTGATGATTCCTGGGGGACTGATTTGGACGAAGTAAGGTCTATAACTAAAAATTTTCAAAATATGAAAGCTCCAGGTGATGATGGAATTTTCTATATCCTCATCAAAAAACTCCCAGAGAGTACCTTGTCTTTCTTGGTAAAATTATTTAACAGATGTTTCCATTTGGCATACTTTCCTGATAAATGGAAAAATGCAAAAGTTGTTCCAATTTTGAAGCCGGATAAAAATCCAGCTGAAGCTTCTAGCTACCGCCCAATAAGTTTGCTTTCTTCAATAAGTAAACTTTTTGAAAAGAAAATTTTGAATAGAATGATGCTTCACATCAATACGAACTCAATTTTTGCAGATGAGCAGTTTGGATTTCGCCATGGGCATTCAACTACTCATCAACTCTTAAGAGTTAACAATTTAATTCGTTCAAACAAATCTGAAGGCCACTCAACTGGAGTTGCTCTTCTAGACATAGAAAAAGCATTCGACAGTGTTTGGCATGAAGGTTTGATAGCTAAATTGAAAAAGTTTAATTTTCCACTTTATATTATGAAATTAGTTCAAAATTATTTAACTGACAGAACTCTTCAAGTAAATTATCAAAATTCCAAATCTAATCGACTACCTGTTAGTGCAGGAGTTCCTCAGGGTAGCATTCTTGGGCCTATATTGTATAACATTTTCACTTCGGACCTCCCTGATTTGCCTCAGGGTTGCCACAAATTTTTGTTCGCTGATGACACAGGCATTTCCGCTAAAGGAAGAAGTCTTCGTGTTATTTGCAGCAGACTGCAGAAAAGTTTAGATATTTTCTCTTCTTATTTACAAAAATGGAAGATTTCTCCCAACGCTTCCAAAACTCAACTTATAATATTTCCACATAAGCCTAGAGCTTCGTTTTTGAAACCTAGTAGTAGTCACATAGTCACTATGAACGAAGTTCCAATTTCCTGGTCAAACCAAGTGAAATATCTTGGATTGATACTTGACCAAAAATTAACTTTTAAAGATCACATTGAGGGCATTCAAGCCAAATGTAACAAATATATAAAATGTTTGTATCCTCTTATAAACAGGAAATCCAAACTTTGCCTGACGAATAAACTTCTAATATTTAAACAAGTTTTTAGACCGGCCATGCTTTACGCTGTGCCAATATGGTCTAGTTGTTGCACTACCAGGAAAAAAGCACTTCAAAGGATTCAGAACAAAATTCTGAAGATGATTTTGAAGTTGCCTCCCTGGTACAGTACTACCGAAGTACATAGAATTTCGAATGTTGAGACTTTAGCACAAATGTCCAACAAAATAATTAATAATTTCCGGCAAAAATCGTTGCAATCCTCAATTGCAACGATTAATTCCCTTTATACTTAGATAAGATTAGTTTTAGTTTTTAGTTCATATCAATTGTTATACTGAGGTTAAAAAACCTGTTTAAAATACTGAATTGCCAAGACATGAACAATGTTAAAACACTTAGATATATATCATAACAATTAAGGCTGGTACGTTACTGCAGTAACTGGAGCACCTAGGTTAAAATGAAATGTAATTTATTTTGAATTTGGAACAAATAAAGAGTTAAAAAAAAAAAAAAAAAACGTCATCTGCCGCTCAAAGGTAAATGCTTCGAACAAATTTGATAGCAAAGATTACACCCTCAGAAGTAAGGTTTGTGTATTTACTCATTTTTCTATGCGTTGCTTCCACCTTCGCTCAAGTGCAGCGCTACTGTATCTGTTGCCAGTCTTCTTGATTTGTTGTCTTCAGTCAGAGTCGAATTTGCATCTGATCGAAATTGACGGATTGACGCAGCGTCGATGTGAAGTCACCAATTAGAGATGTCGACGGAAAAGCAAGTTGACATGCGTTACACCTGTTTTGTTTTGCGTTGGTTGAAAGTGTGTAAGTGAAAAATAGCAGACATCAGAAAAATGCTGGCTTAGCAGCTTCTTGGTTTATGTACACCGATGAATATGATTTGTACCCTCTAACTAAACGTAACTGATCATCTCAAAATTGTAAACAACGTAAAATATAGTTAACAGGTGGCCAAACTTGGAACATGAACAATACTGGTGCGTTTCCGTTAATCCAGCGTGAAAAAATACTAACTCGGATTCTAAAATTTATACCTGGATACTGCGGAGCCGATCGATTTTATTTTGGAAGCCAATGGAAAAGTGCTTGCAATTGTTTTCAAGTTTAAAACTGTTTTGCTCTTTCTCAGTTCATTCCCACCAAAAGGTTGAGCCAGGAATGCTCGAGCCCCCATGACTCTATCAAAGTTTGTTTCACCAAACTATGTTTTACTGTCATTGAAAACTTTGATGATTCATAAAAACTATGCTGGTTTGTATACTTTCATCAATGAGCTTGGTTGTTTTTGCCATTGAGTTTAAAATTAAGAATGTGCCATGGAAAAGTATGGACAACTTTTATGAAACTATAATGATTGACGATAGAGCAAAACAGTAACTGCATTTGTTGCTTCTGAGCGTTTGACTCCCGTTTGACAGCTTCCACTGACTTCCAAGTGACAAGGTTATTGAGTGATTCCGGAGTACTCAGATTTACACGTGTAAACATTACTGTGTTAATTTTGATATGTTCCGTGGAATCGAAATGCATACCATTACAACAACCAAAATATCGACGAAGATACGCTAATCAGAAGACGCCTCTTACTACTGCTTGGTCCCGAATCGTTCGCTATGATTCTAGCAACTGCAGTTATGGCCTTCACTACCATCTCATTTGCATAGCCGATATGGCTGTTGACATGTTCCCTAAGGATGATTTCTGCCTGCTGCACCGCTTTGCATTTACTGTCAGATAGCAGTACGTACGCTGATTAAGTGGCTCGAGGTGTTTCGATGGATAGCAACACCAAGGCAACAGAGGAAGTGACAGAGGTGCTACGTGAAGAGGTGTTAACAATGGACGTGGCAATCGTGGCAGACTGACATCGAAGCCCAACAGCAATGTCAGGAGCATTTTGCGGTTTTAATTGGAGCTAGTCCAAGTAATCAATACAACAATTGAATCTCGGCCTGGATGTTTTCTAATTGGGATTCCCCGTTCGGAAGTTTTGAGAGGGACTCAAGTATTTCGTGTAGGGAGAAGGATTGAAGGATTAAAAAAAAATCCCTACCGTAAATAACACACGATTCAAAAGAAGAAACAACATCCCTGCCTGTAACGTGTGATAGATTGGATACAACATTAATCAACAACAGTTTTAGGGAAAATATGTGTTTTTCCAAAATGATATGAAACTGAAGATGTTACATGGCATTCTCCTCCACGAACTGTTTGTTAAAAGATTATTCAGCTATCTCTATCCACATGACCACTTACAAATCTCCAGCGACATATCGTGTATCAGAACTTTCAACCACTAACCGCAGCAAAGATTAAATCTACCCCCCTTCGGGCGCTATCTACAGGTACACCATCCAACATGTTCCCACTTGCCAGATTCTTACCGTTTCGATTGTAACCACCAAACCAACCCACAATGGTCACAAACCAATAAATTACATCGATCGCTATCGCGCGCAAACGATCCGTTAAGCTATTCCGAAATAGGATAATAGAGTTGCCGGCTTCGGTTCCTCTGTCGGTGCTGAATCGAGGTTTCGAGGCGGTTTAGTCGCGTTCTCATGTCAACGGTTCATTCAATTCCGATTGTAAACATCGCCTGGACATGGCGCTCACGGGTGTCCTGCCCCGTTGGAGTACAGCAATCAGAGTGGGGAGGAGCGCTCGAGCCATTTACATTCGTGTCTCTCTCATCGGCCACAAAAACCCATCAAAACTAATAACAATTTCCCGGTCGGTTATTCTCCATTCCACGATAACAACGGCTCGCCGAAGGACTTTATTTTCCTCCCCATCAGCGTCGTCTTCGCTGGGGACGTCTCCTTAGTGAGGATTTCTTTCAGTAGCAATAGCAGTAGTACTTCACTACGATGGGGTTCTAAATATATTTTAATGAGTTTTCGACTCCACAAGAGTGGCGAGTGAAGCGATGAGTATCAACAGGCAGGCGGTCCGCGACTTTTATGGGATATTTGAATAGAGGCAAGCTTAAATTGCTTGTTTCACCGAAGCCGTACACGCCCTTTCGGAAAATTGATATTGCTGTCAACCACGCACACGAACCATCAGATGCGTATCAACCAACAGCACTTAGCTTAGCCTAGCAAGGGAAGACGATTTAAACGTGATAATGGGCATGGCTATTCATTGAGAAATACGCGTGCAGTTTCTGAAATTGGAGCTTAATGAAAAGGGTTGAATTGTTAATACTTGAATGAAGGTACTTGACGTGAAGGTGTCATTTAACTCCTTAATCAATTATTTGTAAGAGTCTGCTTGAACTTCCATCAATTTATGATGACATGTTTGCACATTTTAAACGAAGTAATGAGCTCAGTTGAAAAATTAAAGAACCCTTTCCCTGAAAGTCGTAAATTACCTCAATTTGTGATATTCATCAAACCCCGATGGCAAAAGCCCGTCCAAAACCTGAAGGATATATCGTTTCTTGCCTGCCGAGCGTCTAATAAATGACTGGCCATTAATCGAAATTGATTCACCTTTCTACACGTAGCAGGGCCATTCGATGTGTGCTAATGGAGCTGCCTCTCCCCGACGATCCGATTTCCGTATTCAACTTCGTTCTGAATCCACTGTACCTGTGAGTGCCGAAACTGATTTGTTTGTACAAATAGTCTGAACTTGGCCCCGCCCACATGCGGAATAAATTTCCATCTTCCCTTCCTACCATCTACGCCACAGTCACAATTGAGGAAATCGAATCAATCTTTCCCGGATGTGACTCGCACGTTCGACTACATATATATATCGACGAAAGGAATGAATGGGACGAAACTTACCTCCACGGAGCTGTCGCGGATGTAAATCTCCTGGACGTCGTCCGGATTGCGATCCCGCGTGCGGTACGTGATCCGATAGCCAAGGAATTCGCCCAGGATCGTGTCCGGTGGCGGCGGTTTCCACGAGATGTACAGGGAGCTGGCGCTCGTGTTGTGGGCGATTGTCGTTACCGGTTTACCCGTTGGAACTGGAAATAAAGTAAAAAAGTGTTGGTTTAATGTTGGCTTTGGTGTTCCCCGATTGAAGATAAAAGATTATTTCATCAAGACATCAAACAAATTCTCAATATTCACGATCAGTAACCAGTTCATGCACCCAACCAGAGGATGTAAGATTTGCTTACAATTATGAGGGATTCATCATCGCAGGATGTTTTTTGGAGACTGCATGATGATGATGATTATGATGGTCCCACCGCTTACCCATACAAAGGTTTGTGCTGGACGATTTATCTTTAAAATAACGTTCAACCAGATTAGTAAACATAAACAAACTGCTTGCAGTTACAGATATAAATACCCTAAACACTTTTCAGTTGTTTCACAGCGATATAAATGTGAAAAAGCTTAGAAGTTCACCTCTTTGTTCACCCTTTTGTCTACCGTAAAACGGGGTAACTTTGATAGTTTTTTTTTAAGTATATTCTAAATATGTTTTACAACCATGAATGTTTTTCAAATTTTAATTTTTTAAAACAAGTACTAGAGTCAATTCATTGGTAACATGCTTACCAGGAATTATTGCATTTGCACTTTTTTTTATTGTCTTATGATCGAACGTCAGATTTTTGTGTTGGAGTTACTTTGATAATACTCGATGAAAGTAGAAAACCACGCGAGAATCACAAACAATTTTGATTAAGAAATAAGAAACTTTGAATGAGTACATAATCAGAAACATCATAAGCAATATAAAAACAATATCGAATTTGTCATGACTATATAGGAAATACATTTAATAAGTGATTGTTTGAGTGCCTTTTCAATCAGGCAAAAAACAAGAAAACTTTGTTTTGGAGGTATTTGGAAAATATGTAAAACATACTGCAAAATACTCTATTAGACATCAAAGGTACTACCCTAAGCTACAAAATGCTGCCAATATTTCCAATTCGGAAATAGTGTAGAGTGTAAATTTAATCATTATATTCTACTATCAAAGTTACCCGCATTATCAAAGATACCCCGTTTTACGGTACCTCAAATTTTCACAAGCATTCCCAGCGATTAAGAGTTCATTAATAATCAAAAAAGCATTTGAATACACTAGCAACCCCGCAATCTGATGATACCGTAATTTTCAGCAACGGCAGGAATGCTCACAACCTCCCGACATTCAGCCAGAAAACTTATCATTCATTCAAGGCATCTTCCAAATAAGCTTCAAGGTTCCATTTTTTGTTTTGTTTATAAAATGATAAATTCTTAAATTTAGCCGGCGCCGGTGGTGTAGTTGTAAGCGTGACTGCTTTCTCGCCCCAATGAGTCTGGGTTCAATCCTAGCCGAGGTCGGTGGGATTTTTCTGAGGCATAAAAATCTCTGGTCACGTCTTCCTTCGAAAGGGAAGTAAAGCCGTTGGTCCCGGCCCATGTATGTTGATGGGTGCGATATCCTACGCAGGTGTGGAAGCTGCCTTCCTGCACATTCAATTGCTGTCAACAAGATGAGCTCTCTCCCAGATTGTGCTAAGCCTTTTTAGAAGCCAACCAAAATCCTTAAAAATTAGTCAAGACTTATTCCATCACTTGTGCCGTTGAATCAACCCAATGATACATGCGCCCATCTGATAACCCCTGAAGAGAAGGCTGATGCTATAGGTCAACACTTCGTCAGCTCTCATAATCTCGGACTGAACATGCCTATTCCATTCGATACTGCAGTTGTGGTAAATTCAACCAACCTCCATCGAAGTCCCAACAACTTTCTTGTGGAATCCGAGGCTACCGCTGACGAGCTGTTGGCCTATACTAAATCATGTAAAAATATGAAGGCCCCAGACCAAATCTTGAATCTGAAACTCAAACACCTTAGTTCCAGATTCTTCAACCATCTGTAGCGTGAGGGGAAGTAGCTCAGACTTGGCTACTTCCCCTCATGCTGGAAGTCAGCTAAAGTCATCCCCACCCGGAAACCTGGGAAAGATTCATCCTCTCCTTCAATCGACCGACCCATCAGCCTTCTCTCGGGGTTATCCAAGCTGTCCGAAAGAGCAGTCTACGGCTCCTGGCATCTGCCGAGGAAAACAACTTATTGCTCGAGGACAACTAGCTAACTAGAGTAACAAACATTCTCAGACGGAACAAGTCTGTATCTAAAACATCTGCCATGGAATTGTTGGACGTTGAAAAAGCGTTCGGCAATGTTTGGTATGATGGCCTGGTCTAGAAATTGCAGCGATACGGATTCCAATCTTCCTAGTGAAGATAAATAAAAATTAGCTCTCGGACAGAACATGCAGACTCTCTCTCAACATCGGATGCTTTCCACATCGGTGCGGGTGTCCCAAAGTGAAGCATCCTTCGCCCCATCTCATTCAACCTGTTCACTTCCGATATACCGGCTCTCCCTGATGGTGGATCGCTGTCTCTGTTCGCAGATGACACATCCATCATCTTTAAGGGTAGATTCATCAGAGCTCTGGCCGCCAAACTTCAGAGAGGCCTAAATGTCCTGGCAAAATATTTCAACAGCTGGAAGATCCGTGTCAACGCAGCAAAGACCCAGGTCATCATATTTCCTCATTCCAAATCACCCATATTTGTTCTGTCTGAGAATAGTAACATCAACTTGAACGGCAGAGTGATTGAATGGTTAAAAGAGGCAGTGTACCTTGGCCTTACACTCGACAGCAAGCTGCTTTTAAGCGAACACATTGACAAAACAAAAACCAAATGTAACATCCTGCTAAGCTCCTTATATACACTCATTAACAGGAGATCCACTATGTCCCTGCAAAACAAACTTGCAGTCTATAAGTAAATGATCCTTCCTGTAATAGAATGCCAATCTGGGAGAGTAGTGCAAAATTCCCATCACCTCAAATTATAAAGAGTCCAAAACAAGTTTTTGAGGATGATCCTCAACAGTCCTCCACGAATGGGGTTCAGATATTGCTCTAGGCAATCCAATCAGCTGATCTTCGTGGCCGTCAGCGTCTTGTAGATAGTCAACTTCATGCGGCGGCGAATTTTATTCGATCCGAGCGTCCTCCGGAGTCCAAAGTAAGCACGATTCCCTGCCATAACGCGTCTTTGAATTTCTCTGCTGGTATAATTTTTGGCGGTCACCAGTGAGCCCGAATACACGAACTCATGGAGTTTTTTTTCCCACCATCGTCTAAATGTTCCGTTCCATGATGTTGATGTCTTCAGCGAACCCAAGAAGCTGGATGGACGTCCTGAAGATCGTACCATCCATCCCAACTGTTCTGATTACTCCTACTAATTCGTTGTTGAATAGCAGACACGAAAGTCCATCACCTTGCCGTAACTCCCTTCGTGATTCAATGGGACGCGAGAGTGCCCCGATACTCGAACAACACACATCACTCGATCCATCGCGTCAGTTTATCGGGAAATCCGTACTCGTGCATAATCTGCCATAGCTGATCTCGGATTTGAAATCGACGAGCAAATGATGTGTGAACACGTTGTATTCGCAGCATTTCTGCTGAACCTGCTGAATCGTGAATATTTGGTCTGTGGTAATGTGGCCACCCATGAATCCCGCCTGGTATTGTCTCACGAACTCTCTTGCAAATGGTGACAGGTGGCAGCATAGAATTTGGGAGAGTACCTTGTAGACTGCGCTGAGCAGTGACATATAATTCCATACTTCTTGGTAATTTTCTTGATGACATTGTCAATATGAGAATTGAACTTGAGTTTGTTGTCAATAATCACGCCAATATATTTAATTTACTGAACGCAATCAATTGTCTCATCATCAATAACAACAAAGACATCATCATCTACACGATTCCGTGAAATTACCATGATTTAGTTTTACTTGTATTCAATTTCAATTGTTTATACTTCAACCATCTACTTAGAGAACACAAGTCTTCATTCAAGCGTGAAACGGCTTCTCCTGAATTGTTAGCTGCAATGAATAACACAGTATCGTCAACAAAAAGATTAATATCACAAAACCGTTAAACTCGTCGTAGTCATTTATATACATAACAAATAAATGGAGCCTCAATACACTTCCCTGAGGCATTCCTAGGTCATTGCCAACGGGACTGGATACAAAATCATTAAAAACAGTAATTTGTGCTCTGTCAGATAATTAACTTTCAAACCATTTGTATTCAAAACCCGAAATTCCAAAGCGCCTGATTGTTCTCAACAATAAGGGCCTCGAAATTGTCTGAAAAACGCATATTAGATTCAAAAAACAGCAACAATCATATCTTTACACTCCAAGTTTTCTTTCCATTTAGCTAACACTGAGTTTAACACGTTTTCACAAGAATGACCTTCCCGGTATCCCGATTGTTTTGGTCTCAACAAACAATTACTATTTAAATATTCTAACAGCTGGCCTTTGGCATTGGTAGAATTCTCTTCGTCATGGCTGAGGGGGGGAGGTAGCTCATCGATTCTTCCGGTTCGCCTCATAGCATCGTGCTATAAGGTACCAGGCGATAACCAGGGTAGTTGATCGATAGCTCGATGACGTCATTTCGTTGGCGTCTGCAATGGGAAATTCTCATTGCAGGCGTTGACGATGGGACGTTGTCGAGTTGTTGAATAGCAACTATCGTGGTAACTCACCGATTACCTGTCGATCTGCCAAATTTGGAAAGACGTCTGCATTGAATTGTCTCATATAATAATATTCCGCCCACTATATCACAAGAAATTGCGAGTAGCTGAGTGGAATGGAGATAAGTTAAGCATTGGGTACAGGACCAAGTCTCCCCTGGGTGGTGCCAGAAGATGAGCGCAATAGAATCATCAAGTTGCCATAAGGCACGGAATGAGACTATTGCATGGCTGGGTAGTCAAAGTCTTCCATTCGTTAGTCATTTCAGGTGGATTAGAACAGGTTTAGGTTTAGGGTGGGCGTTGGCCAGATTTGGATTATTCAGATGTAATCCTGGATAGAACCCTGTCATTGAACGTCGCGTAAAAGTGGAACTTAATGAAGCCCTAAGAACTTTTTCGTAGTTTTTAGTTTTCG